CAATAATCTTTATTACTACTACATAGAAAGCCTGTGTAGTTGCACCTAATTAAAATCTTTATGGAATTTTTTTATGAAAAATATATATATCAAATCTCCATTTCGTTCAGCTCATCTCTTGGACCTACCATGTTAATTTGTGTATGTTTAATTTATTGATAAAAATAAAAATGCCTAAAAGATCCTTTTTATAAATTACATTCGCATAAAAAAATATATATGTTACAGAAATAAAGCACATATTTCGTAACATTTTTATTAAAAATAAAATCATTCAGAAATTGTTAATTTAACTCGGTCAATTTTGTGATATCTAACAAAAAATAGATTAAGAAGACGGAGAATATATATGTCTCGAGTTTGTGTTTTTTGCTCTTGAAAGAGAGTCATGAACTTGACATGTGTGATTAGAGTCTCTCATAATTATTTCATAATTTTTCATTTTAGAGATTCATTTTTGTCTCTCCTACTTTTTATTTTATTTTTTGCTTATTTTTGTTCTTAGAATATTCTATAGAACCTTCCATTGAAAATGATCTTAAGACACATTGTTTTCATTGTCAACAAATGACAGCTCCACGTTCTTTGAAGTGTATTTTGGTTGTATTTTTATTCCATTTACTTAAAACGTTTGTTGTTTTCAAGTTCCATGGATTTTTTTTTTCTTTGATATTTCTTGTAGTGGATCAAATAAGTTGTCTTGTCAACAAAAAAATCTTCTATATATTAATTGAAACAAAATTCACAGAAAATAGTTGATGTGCCAATAAATGAGTAAATTCAAGAACATCTCAATAATCTATTAAAAAAAACTAGTGTGACATATTAACAAAATACAAAAACTTAACAAAGAAAACTTTCTCAATCATCATAAATAAAATAAGATGCAAACTAACTCAATCATACTTTAAATTAAAAATATTGGCTCGATTATTGCAAATCGACTCAATTAATTATCAGCACTCAATAATTTTAAAATGCATATTGATTGTTTATTCATATTTTTTTGTTAAAGTACATGTAAATATTCCGAAGTTAGATGTATATAACTATTGAATTTTTTTAGCATTAGATACAAGTGGTAGTATCAAACTTAGTTACATTAGTTTGAAACTACATAAGTCAAATGTAATTACTATCTTATCTTATTTAATATTTTTGGGTGTCTACGATTCAAAACGATAGGTTTAAAACTGATTTCATATAGTTATATATTTTCAATATTTTTTATATATTACAAAATAAACTTCAATATACAATTGAAATTTGTAATCCCCACATGGTGTGGGTCACAATCTAGTAATAAAAAGCCCTCGAGCGTTTTTTTAATATCTTTTCCAACTTAAACCTCCAATTTTTTGCGTTTCCAGAATAAACTTCTAACCTTTTATTTTTTTTCCAACATAAACATTCAACTTTTTTCGTTTCCTCAACAAATCTCCAACTCAATTATTTTTGTGAAAAAAACCTCTAAGTGACAAAAACAATACTTAGCACTCTTAACGCATGTTAAAAAATAAGTTAAAGACAATTAGTTTTTAATTAATACGTGATAGATATTTAATTATAATAAAAATATTTAGGGTTAGTATCATTTGCAATCTCTGGCTTCAATAATAGAAGAAAAAAAAAGATTGACGATTTACTGTGTGTGCTCCTCGATTTTTTAAAGATATGAGACATGTAAATTAAAATTAGATTTCAATGATGATTTTGCAATTGCTAAATTTAGAGTTTTCGGGTCCAAATAGAAATTCATGTTTTTTTTCTAAATTTGGATAACTTGTCTTTTGATTGAGCTACGAATTGTGGATGTTGTGACTATAATATATATATATTTCATGTTATAATAAACAAACTAAGCAATAAATATAACAAACTAAAACCGTAAGCTTTACATAAGATAATCAACCTTTGAACGCATACACTTTTGGACTCTTGAAAGTTTAGTTCAAAAAATAATCGAGTGAAAGGTTGTTCTATAAACACAAAAATTTGGATGTTTAAATTGGAGAAAAATCAAAAGTTGAAAGTTTTTATGGTGATTTCCCTAATTTAAAATGGTATAAATCTTAATATTTAAACTAAACAAAGAAATTGTGATACATAATTTAGGTTAAAGGTTCTTTAATGTTTTAATGGGCCAACAATAGAAAGCCGTTTATAATAGCCTCATTGTCCTGGCCCAAATATACATCTTACTTCTCTCTTTTGTCTTGCAAACTCACGCTTACAACTTCATTTAATTTTCTTTTGTTAATAACGTAATGTTCCACTTTAAAAAACATCATACTTCATGCAATTAATTTCAATCACTATTAGCGTG